GGAACAAAGGGGAGGGAACAAAGGGGGGAGGGAACAAAGGGGAGGAGGGATGATTCGGGTACATTGATCCTTCATTCAGTGGGGGCGCCGGTGGTGTTTGCTCTTCTCTCAGCTCCCCAGCAACCTGGAAATTCTGTGGAATAAGAAGATGAGGAAGACGGCCGGGTATTGTGTGACGGGACAGACGAAGCTCCCCACCGTGCAGCGCTACGCCCGGATAGAACTGTCCGAGAAGGTCTGTGACTCTGCAGGTATGTGGACCGATCACACGATGTTACCCCAGTGAGGGGGTAACATCCACCCGGAGTGTCACCAGTATTCAGGCCGGAGAGGTGGCTGGGTGAGCCTAATGCCCATGAGGGTGACGCTCAGTGGGGTGGAGGAGCCGACCTTGGATCTGGGTACTCTGGTGACCCCACAATCTGATGAAAGCTGATCATTAGTCTGAGGTGGATGTCTCGTGGTATTACGGAACGTCTTGTGTGTGTGTGGAGGTCACGGCCGGGTGTGTGTGTGTGTGTGTGTGGAGGTCACGGCCGGGTGTGTGTGTGTGGAGGTCACGGCCGGGTGTGTGTGTGTGGAGGTCACGGCCGGGTGTGTGTGTGTGGAGGTCACGGCCGGGTGTGTGTGTGTGGAGGTCACGGCCGGGTGTGTGTGTGTGGAGGTCACGGCCGGGTGTGTGTGTGTGGAGGTCACGGCCGGGTGTGTGTGTGTGGAGGTCACGGCCGGGTGTGTGTGTGTGGAGGTCACGGCCGGGTGTGTGTGTGTGGAGGTCACGGCCGGGTGTGTGTGTGTGGAGGTCACGGCCGGGTGTGTGAGAACAGTTTGTAATATCTGTAATATTGATCCTTAGATCGCCTCCGAGACACGCTAATTCATGAGATCTGTCATGCTGCCACGTGGCTCATTAACGGCGTCAGAGACGGACACGGTCAGTACTGGAGGTTCTATGCCAGGAAAGCCACCGTCGTCCACCCCGAATTACCGATGGTCACCCGATGTCACACCTACGAGATCAACTACAAGTTCACCTACGAATGTTCCCGCTGTAAGAACACGTGAGTAGGAACCTGCTATGTGCATTGTGTGTGTGTGGGGGGGGTCTCCTGAAAACCCAAATGATAGGGGGGTGTCGGGGCGCAGAGGGGGCGTCTTGAAGTTACGTGGATGAGTATGTACCATGTGATGTCTCTGAGAGCTTCCATGTCAGCTGACATACAAATAAACCTTAATGTGGGCGGGACTCTTCACCTCAACCAAACCTGATGATTGTGCAGACACGGCGCCGACATTGTCCTCCCATCCACAGCCAGCAAGTCAGGGGGAGTGACCTCTGTGTACCTGACCTTTTAAGGAGCAGGGTAATTGGGGGGGGGGGGACCCGGGGGCTGGGGGGC